GTCCCTAAAGGTCCCTAAGTGTCCCCGCCTGTCCCCAAATGTCCCGAGATGTCCCTGCCTGTCCCCAAATTGGCTGACGCTCTCTGCCTCTCTCCCAGCCCTCCACAGCAGCTCCAAGAGCTCGTCCCTGCCCGCCTCCGGCCGGAGCACCCTGACCCGGGTAAGTGACAGTGCCACCCCCTCGGGTCACCCGCCCTGCCCGGGCCTTGGGGACACCCGGGGACACTGTCACTGTGTCCTTGTGTCACTGTGACACTGTCCTGTGTCACTGTGACACTGTCACTGTGTCCTTGTGTCACTGTGACACTGTCCTGTGTCCCTGGGACATTGTGACACTGTGTCCTTGTGACCCTGTGACACTGTCCTGTGTCCCTGGGACCCTGGGACACTGTCACTGTGTCCTTGTGTCACCGTGACACTGTCCTGTGTCCCTGGGACACTGTCACTGTGTCCTTGTGTCACTGTGACACTGTCCTGTGTCCCTGGGACACTGTGACACTGTCCTGTGTCCCTGGGACCCTGGGACACTGTCACTGTGTCCTTGTGTCACTGTGACACTGTCCTGTGTCCCTGGGACACTGTGACACTGTCACTGTGTCCTTGTGACCCTGGGACACTGTCCTGTGTCCTTGTGTCACCGTGTCCTTGTGACCCTGTGTCCCTGTCCCTTTGTCCCTGTCCCTGTGTCCCTCTGTCCCCATGTCCCCGTCCCTCTCTCCCTGTCCCTGTCCCTGTCCCTGTGTCCCTGTGTCCCTGTACCTCTGTCCCTGTCCCTGTGTCCTTCTGTCCCTGTCCCCTCCCTGTCCCTCTGTCCCTGTGTGTCCCTGTGTCCCTGTCCCTGTGTCCCTGTCCCTGTGTCCCTCTCCCCTGTCCTTGTCCCTCTGTCCCTGTCCCCTGTCTCTCTGTCCCTCTGTCCCTGTTTCCCTGTCCCCTCCCTGTCCCCTGTCCCCTCTCCCCTCTCCCCTGTCCCTGTCCCTGTCCCCTGTCCCTCTGTCCCTGTCCCTCTGTCCCTGTGTCCCTCTGTCCCTGTCCCCTCCCTGTCCCTCTGTCCCTGTGTCCCTGTCCCTGTGTCCCTGTCCCCTGTCCTTGTCCCCTGTCCCTGTCCCCGTCTCTCTGTCCCTCTGTCCCTGTCCCCTGTCCCCTCCCTGTCCCTGTCCCCTGTCCCCTGTCCCTGTCCCCTGTTCCCTGTCCCTGTCCCTGTCCCTGTCCCTGTCCCTGTCCCCTGTCGCCTGTCCCTGTCCCTGTCCCACAGCTGCAGTCCGCAGAGTTCGGCTCAGCGGGGAGCGAGAAGAGCAGCCCGGGTGAGGATCGGCCGGGGTGGGGGGTCCCGGGGATGTGGGGGTGTCCCTGGGGTGTCCCTGGGGTGTCCCTGGGGTGTCCCTGGGGGTGTCCTGGTGATCTGGGGGTGTCATGGGGGTGTGAGGATGGCTCTG